TTTTCCCTACCTCTGCTCAAGATCTGTCGGCATCCATTCATTTCTCTCTCAGCCATTCACTGCTAGATTTGCTCAAGATCTGGCAACATTCACCGGCCACCGCCAATAGCGTATTTTCCTGCCTCTATCTTCCGGCCAACGAGCAAAAGCCGCCACTGTTTCAAAGGACAGGGGAAGAGTGAGAGCAAACTTAGAACAAGATTTCAAGAATGCCAATTATTTTCTGTTTCGTCGATTTTGTGGGATTTTAGTGTTCCCTCAAGACCCGATTTTCATTCATTCTTCCAAATTTTTGATTTTCAAAAAACCAAAGGGACTTGTAAGGTTTGTCTATTTTAAACCTTCCTTAATCCCAGAAAACAAAAAATGTGCCAGAATTTTGAGTTTTTTCTAACCTTGTTGAAATCTTATTTATTTGCTTGCTAACTGCATAATTCTGTTCTTTAATTTTTCTAAGAAACAGGTGCTCTTTTCTTTTCTTTAATTCAATCGCAGAGTATCGTTCTGCAAATGGGTCTGCTAATGATGAGCTTTGCTATTTTGCCACTCTAATTTGTTACATTCATTTGTGTTTCTGTTTTTACCATCTTCATTTGAAACTTCTTGTTATTAGAGTGGTTGCCATTATGTTTAAAAATAGTCTAACTATATTTATTCAGAGCCAGATGATAGAGAAATATGATTCCAGTTACTAGTATCTCCCAGCCCACAACATAGTGAAGTATCTCATCTCATAATTTATTTGCTTCTCGTTACATATGTCATTGGAAAGGAACTCGAAGGTGTTTTAGTTGAATTTGGGTCCGACTTGTAGAAAGGTTATGAGACTCTACACATGCACATCCCGTGCAAGTGCAATCCAAAAGCTTGAAGAATTGCTTCATATTTTTCGAAGTCACATGGCAGCATTGTTCTTTTTGATATCTACATTGTTATCTTGAGGACTGGTGTATTACTCTACTCATGTACTCGCTTCGCGCTCTTACTTGCCCTCGACGCCTGAGTCCAGGATGAAAACGAGCTCGAGAAGAGGGAGCCCGAAATCCTCTGGCTGTGAGCTGCTGGTAAGGGGCATCGTCTTGCTAAAACTACATGGCTTTGGTTCTTGATGAACTATAGATTGTTTAGTAGGCTCTTGGTATTTTATGCTGGAGAGAAAATGTGGTTTGTTAAACTCATGTATAAGTTTCAGCTGAGTGGTTGTTTGGTGAATGTTTAAGGCTATTAGAGATGAAATGTGTATGAGAAAAGGCATTTACTTGTTTTTGTTATAGATTTTGTTTTTTTTATTTAAAAACAAAAAGAAACAATAGTCTCATTGTTTTTGTTATAGATTTNAAAAAAAAAAGGGTCATTGGTAATTGCCAAAGACTGAGGGACAAATTGGTAAATTCAGATTTTATCTTAATTGTTGTCATGGCAAACAAACATATGAATTAACTTTTACATAAATCCTATTTTATGGTAGTCATTGACAACAAACATGGGTCCATTTCAATCTCCACAGTATAATTTACTACCCCAAATAAAAAAAACTTATCCTATCATGGAAAGCAAATGTGCCTTAAAGGGCGGGCACCGCGCAGGGACTCAGACTACGTCGCACCACACCACGATGTAACAATTCCTCCACCTGTCGTCGCAACTCGTCGTGTTCAGCCGGGCTCATCCGATATTGAGGGCGATTTGGAAGGGATGCTCCAGGAACCAAGTCAATCTGATGCTGAATATCCCAAAGAGGAGGGAGACCAGATGGAAGATCCTCTAAAAAGACGCCTGCAAATTCCTCGGGTAACGGGTGAACAGTCGGAGGAGGTAAATGTTCGGATGATAAGTCAGTGCCCAGGAGGAGAAGAACACAAGGGGCCTCACGCATTTCGTTGGCGAATGCGGCTCGAGACAGTAAAAGAACTGGTGAAGGATCAGGAGCAGGTAATGACCGCAATGGTGACGGATGAAAAACAACCTTAACACCCTCAAACATGAAACTATAGGTGTTTAGATGACCGTCATGTGCCACCGAACGATTGAATTGCCAAGATCGACCTAACAGAAGGTGACATGCATCCATTGGCACGACATCGCGCCATGCCGAGTCACGATATTGGGGCTCGTTCGAAAAAAAAACTAATACGCGACGGTCAACTGTTACGGCATTCCCACGCTGAATCCAAGCTAGGGTATACAGCTGTGGGTGTGGCTCGGTTGACAGCTAAGTTTTTCCACTGCATCCTTGGCCACCACATTTTCACATGAGCCCGAGTTGATAATAAATCGACAAACTTTACCTTTGATAGTACACATAGACTCAAATATGTGATGCCTCTGAGTCGATTCAAAAGAGTCCGCACAGGGGAGCCAAACACGAACGACGGATAATGAGGGCTGGCCAGACGTTCCCACGCCAATGCTCTTCGGTCACAGGGGGTTCGTCGTCGAAATAGGCGGCGACTCGTACACCACGCCGTCTCCGTGATCGGACGCCTCCTCTGCCAAAATGCTCGACCGCCGCTGTTCAGAGGACAGGCCAACTGTCGGTGTCCGATTTGGCTGCATGAAAAACATCGAATATTGTCGGGCTATCGAGAGGTGGTCTACGCGTAAGGCCCGATCCCTGCGGATGGAGTATTGGCGGCTGGTCCTCGGAATGGCGTCGCACTGCGCCCAGCAGGCACAATCGACGAAGAAGTGCCCACGCTGGCCGGTAATGGGCGGCCGGTAGCTGCTTCCGAACTGAACTGTCCCACCCTCGCCAGTAAAGAGACAATTGGTGCTTGACGGGCCAACTGCTGCTCGACAACAAGGGCCCGTTGATGGGCGTCTGAAATAGAATCCAGAGAAAACAAGATTAACGTGACTTGAATCGGTAAACGAAGTCCTCCAATATACTGAGAAATAAGCTGATTTGGTGTCTCTCGGGTAACCAATCTCGTAAGAAGACGATAGAACTACTCAGTATACTCGTTAACCGTACGTTGCCCTTGCTTTAAATTCTGAAATTGCATGAAAAGGGTACGCATTGTCGAGAAGTTGATAGAACTTTGCCCAAGTACTGATTTTCGATTTTCCTAGCTGACGTCTTGTCGCCTTGAGTTGCTGGACCATGCGGCGGCCCGATCGCGAAATCAGGTCGCGGCAAGTTCCACCCGTAAGTTTGCAGGAATTTCTTTGAAGTCGAGAGCTGACTCGACTGCGGCTATCCAATCCAGAAAGTCCGTTGCCTCTAAGCCGCCGGTAAATTCTGGAATGTCCACACGAAAAGACGATTTCCAGCACCTCTCCTCGTCCAAATCATCATCTTCACGGGCTGAATGTCTAAAAGGGTTAACTTCGAAAATGGTGTCATCGTCGTCGTCACTGTCGCCATCCCACGAAGGAGGAGACCGGTTGCGGGGCACCCCGCGTTCTCCCCGGCCGCGACCCCCGCGCGCTCCCCCGAGCCGTCCGTCGCGGCCTCGGTTCGCCTGATTGCCGTGAGGGCTGGTATTGACGGCCAGTGCAATCTCCTCAACCCTCGCTGTGAGATTAGCCATTAGTCGATCGGATATTTCGCAACGTTGCAGCAGCAAATCGATAGCAGCATCTCTCTGTTCATCGGCATCATTTCTCTTTGAAGGCATCAGTTGGTATCAAAAGTCAGCACGATTCACGATACTGTCGCGACGACAAGATGCTGCAAACGACAGGCGTGTCATTGCCATCTACAACCTGAGCCGCCAGACCGAGTGGTTTGGCCGTCGGCTCGAGATGATGGGTCGTGAGATTGTAGATCTATTCGCGGAGATCGGAGACATACGTCTAACTTTCCGTACCATGGTTCGGGACAAGCAAACGTACCGTGACGTCGGCAACCGGGGCGTGTGCGGGGGAATTCGCGGAGGACGTGGAGGCCATGGTCCAGGCGTGGCGCCCCGCGTAGATCTACACAACCACCGTCCGGTGACGAAGACGGCCATTATACCATCTCAGAGGTTAATCCCTTCAGCGAGTGGCAACCTCCGCACGTCGAGGCTGACCCCTTCGCTGCATACGACGCCCATGACACGAGGAGGCTGCTTTCGCCGGCGGATATCGTGCCCGACACGATTGGGGACTTGATCGCGAATATGGTCAATGGGAGGGCTCGTTTCGTGTTGACATCCTTGAATTCGGCGCAGAACAAGATGACGGGCCATTGTACGACGGTCCGCCGATCTTTAATGAAGAGCCTCCGGTGACGGAGAAAAATCTTTGCAGGGACATGAGAATCGATGAGAATGCAGTTGTCGGCATGGATGGAGATGACCGTAAAATTCGTAGTGGATCGGTATCAATTGATGTATATTCATATATCGATGCATCCATTGTTTGTTATTCATGTGATATGTGGTATCACGTTTTTTGTGTGGGATCTGATCCTAAAGGCAGATATGCTCGCTCTTGGTTGTGCCCAAGAGTCTTGGTATTTGTTGCTGATGGTGGTGAGACAGTTGTAGTCGTATCCCTGTTTGATGAAAATCAAGAGAGTCTTGGTATCCCTGTTTGATGAAAACGACAGGGGTTTCTTACCATGGATTCGACACCACACATCGGCTTTGAGGGCGAAGCCTTCCGAACCGGGGGAGAATGGTGTAGATCATTATTATTATTATTATTATTATTATAATTATCATTATTATTAGGTGTCTTAGAGAATAAGTTATGAATTAAATATTATTATAAAAGATCTTGTCTTGTTGGACAAGTTAGGTTTAGAATTAGGGATCTTATATAAAGGATTCCCTCTTGTTTATTTCTTTGGTTCATTATGAATTATTAAATGAAAATATGATTTGATATCGTGTTTAAATGTTCTTGAGATTGCGATCTCATTAATATAGTTTCACTCGTATGTTTTCCTACATCACCTTGTCCCGTGCATCGCACGGGGTACATACTAATTGGAATTTAAAGAGACGTGTCATTAATGACTCTTTAGTGATCTTAATTTTAACTTATTTGGGCTAATGGGAGAAAGCCCAATAAAATCAAATTCTCTTGGTCCAAACCACACGAGGCTCACTAGGGTTTTGGCCCAATAAAATTGAGTATATTACTGGCCGTGCAATGATCAGCTGCGCGAGTCGAGTCTAACATTTGTACTGCGATCGGCAAAGATCGGACTGAGGACGCCGCCGGCAGAAAATCATGGTGCACGTCTCTTTTTACCGCAACTGTAAGCATCCTTATCTTCCTCTTCGATCGAACACTATCCTAACGCATCATTTATTACGAAATGGCTGAACGCTTGTCATTTATGTTAATGCAGATTGTTACCTAGTAATTTACTGTTGCTTTTAAGTTTTATGTGGATTTGTTCCGTTTCTCTTTGCTGATCCTCTTTTTTCTGTGAGAAAGTTCTGCGTTTTTTATTTTGTGTTTGTGGTGTATGAATTTTATTTGATCTGTCTTATGCTTCTCTCAACGATGTTCCTTTCGTTGTTTCGGAATTTTTTACCTATTTGATAGTTTGAGTTGTGATTTTTATTTAATTGGCGCTAGTAACCGAAAGGAATGGTCTTTAGAAATTGAGTTCATTTTAACCATTCTAGAAACAAATTACCTGGCTACTTATCCAGAAGATTGAAGTACTGCTTCATTTTACATTGTGTGTGTAATTCTGAGTATCTGCAGCAAAGATGAATAGTTGTGTATTGGCATAGTTGCTTTGGTAATTTGACATTACTAGATGATAGTAATTGTCAGCATACAGCTGTTAACAAATTGACGGATTAGAAGTACTATGGGGTTTGTTATTTCTCTTCCACTTCTTCATAGTTTTCTTAAAGATCTTTAAGCAGGGTTGTTTGCCTTTTTTTGCCTTTGGTCTCATATTCTGTTTATGGCCTGTGATTAACAACCAAATAAGATCTCTTGCAAGCTTATAAAGTATAACAAAATATTCTTCTTGCCAGCTAATTCTCATTTGGCTGAGAAGAGTACATGTCACATTCTCATTCGTAGCATCACATGAATTGTAAAATTAACTCCCGTGAATGTTCCCACATGATGGTTACAGATGGAAAGACCTTTAAGAAACCCCGCCGCCCATATGAGAAGGAGCGGCTGGATGCCGAGCTGAAGCTTGTGGGCGAATATGGTCTTAGGTGTAAGAGGGAGCTGTGGAGAGTTCAGTATGCACTGAGCCGCATTCGTAACAATGCCAGGAACCTTCTGACACTCGACGAGAAGGACCCACGACGTATTTTCGAGGGTGAAGCCCTTTTGAGGAGGATGAACAGGTATGGGTTGCTTGATGAGAGCCAGAACAAGCTCGATTATGTCTTGGCACTCACTGTTGAGAACTTCCTAGAGCGCCGTCTGCAAACTCTTGTGTTTAAGGCGGGCATGGCTAAATCCATCCACCACGCCAGGGTGCTTATCAGGCAGAGACATATCAGGTCTGTTTTTAGATAACTCGTAGGCTAGATTATAAATGCATTTGCATTGATATATTACTAGGTACAATGGCTGATGTGTAGTAGCGTACTAGAATCTAAAGCTTTTTAGCTTTCAATCCCTCCACGTCATTTTCTTTCTTGTCTTTTCCTGAATGATAAATTTCTGAAAAAAAAATGATAAATAAGAAAAGTTTTCAATCAAGCAAGGTTTGCTTGCATGTTGATAGCTTAAACTTTGGTAATTGTAATAAATTTGTATAGGTTATTATATCTATCATTCATCTTACAATTCTAGGCATATTTATTTAATCATGTTTGTGTGTATTCATTTTATCAATACTAGGGTTGGAAGGCAAGTCGTGAATGTGCCCTCTTTCATGGTGAGGGTTGACTCCCAAAAGCACATTGATTTCTCTCTGACTAGCCCGTTTGGTGGTGGTCGTGCTGGTAGGGTCAAGAGAAAGAATCTGAAGGCTGCGGCCAAGAAGGCTTCTGGTGGTGATGGTGATGAGGATGAAGAGGAATAAGCTGTTGTAGTTTTGTTTATTTGCTTTGTGATAATTCCTATTTGTGGTTGGGTGTCAATGAACTCCATAATGATATGATGTTCTGCCATGACTGTCTTATTTGGAAATATTTCAGAGTTTTGAATGAATTTAAGCTTTTGGCTTCTGCTTCAAGTGATCGAATATTTCCCCTGTTCTTTCTCATGTTTTATGATATGTGTCCATGTTTTAGCATTTCTTAAACTTTTAATTCTGTAAGTGAAGTGCAGGGTTTTCAGTTGATCTATAATTCTTGCCTTTTTTTTTTGTTTTTTAGAATCGACAAATATTTTAACAACTGAGATCATACTTGCCTTTTTTTCGTTTTTTAGAATCGACAAATATTTTAACAACTGAGATCATACTTGCCTTTTTTTGTTTTTTAGAATCGACAAATATTTTAATAACTGGAAAAGAGTACACAGGAGTGCACACAGGGAGTGTCAATTGATACAAGGAATAAGAAAATTTGGACCTTCTACCTCATTGGAAATTTAGAAATTCGAATAAGAAAATTTGGACCTTCTACCTCAGTGAAAATTTAGAAATTCCAGATGAATTCGAAAGCTGTAACTTCAACAAGAAGACAACCGCAACTTCCAAACAAACAGGAGACTTACTCCATATAGGAGAATAAACAAACACCATAAAGGAGACTTATACCTCATATAAGAGACTAGATCTAGACGAAGTTGGACTAACAAACCGAGCAAAGAGAAACACACACTTAATGTACAAACCAAATAAGACCTCTCGTATACCATAGGGACATAAGGACATAACGCACGACCACTCGAGTCGGTATACGACGCACTCCCAATAGTACATAAATCCAATAAAACAGCAAATCGGAATTTCAGATCCAAAAATTGCAGCCACTTGCGCCGCTTAGACGGCTTTGATGAAGAGTCAATTCTCAATTTTAAAAGGAGGACATTCTTTTTTGATCCGAAGCCTCAGACAAATGAGGTAAAATATATTTAGGCAAATAATTTTTGTGATGTTTAAATGAGGTAAAATATATTTAGGCAAATAATTTTTGTGATGTTTTGTGTATGGCGTGAGTAGAGGAAAATTTGGGATTTGGAATTTCCAAATTAAGAGTAAAAAATAACCCTATCCCTTCAAATACTTGCCTTTACATATGTGGTGGTATGACTTGAACGGTTAGTTG